CAACAAGCTGTAACCAAGAAGATTCATGCCTTACCACAACATAAATTTTGAAAGACATTTCAAAAATGAGTTGATCGAATGGAACCCGATATAATAAACAAGGGCGACTGCTTCGAACATCATTTATTCAATAAAAAGGCAGATGTTCCGAGAACTTTTTGATCATCCTATGTACATATATTAACATTTTATTATAAATACAGAAGAGAAAGAAAATGCACGTAGGAATGTCTTTGTACATTCATAGAGAGCACAAAACCAAAAATTTCGATTGAGCGTACTTTTTCTGTCTGACTAGAATTTGATTGATAGAAAGCTTCTGTAAGACTTCGAGACTTCACGTGATTTTATAAGTCTCTTGGTACTGTAGAGTCTGCAGTCCGCTGTTATTCCCTTAATTTTAACTTAGTTGATTGATTTGTGGTGAATGAAAGAGTGTTTCAACAAAAATTTCATTAAAATTGTGAGAAAAAAAAGGGAAACAAAATATTTAATCAGTAAAAATGATTAAATGATCAGTAAAAAAAGAGATAACTCATCAGTATAAAAATTGAACGATCAGTACTAAAAGTATCAGTAACTAATAATAGAATGATCAGTATATTGTATATAATTACCAGTAAAATATACAACTTATTCCAGTAACAAATACAAATTTGATCAGCATAGTATAGAAATTTTATCAGTATAAAGATAAGTTTTAACCGTATTAAATAAAAAGTTATCAGAAAAAGAAATTTAAATAATTAAAGAACAATCTGAAAGAATATTTTATAGAAATCTAAAGGGGGAGTGAGAAAAGAGAAAATGAACATAAAAATAAAATTATTGGATCAGCAAACCAGGCTTAGTCTTAACTGTCTACCTCTTTTTCTTTTCTCGCCAATGGGAACTGTTTTTGTTGCTACTTCTCGTTTGCAATATATTAAATGAATAAGCATTTTCTTCTAAAACTTCATCGGATAAATTGCTTGTATATTGTGCAACCTCTACCATTTTCATCTTTTTCACTTGTTAAAACTTGAGTAATGATGAGCGAGAGGATAGGAGTAAAGAGTGTATATTTATTAGTATTTAATCTCAAATTCAGTCCAATCTTAGATCCACTTAGGTCAACTTGGAGTCTCATTCTGGACTAGTGCAATGCCAGATTGGGAAAGCAGTTTTCGTTAAAGCCTTCACTAGTGACTAGAAAAATATTGTATTGGAATAATATTGCTGAACTAGATTAAAACAATGGGGTATTCCGACATTGCGATCATCACTGAAGAAATAAAGTTTAAACACAAACACTTATGGATAATTTTCTATAACAGCTGGTTTGCTAAAGAAACCTATTCGCAAGTTCTAGAACCTTAAATTAATTTCTTTATCGATGATTACATTAGCTGAAATGCCATTTTTTGAAAACAGTTCAGTAAGAAATATTCCAAATTAATAGCTGTCCAAGGACAGTTAAAAGTTTTCACGAAAGCCAGTTTTCCAATCCGACATTTGACTAGGCAAATCTGAGAGCCTCACATTGAACTATGCGCATTTGAAATTGGATTGAAGCCATGACTGGGCACTAATATATATACGTTGTACTTGTTATCTGTACGACATAGTTGAAAAACAGAAAAAATGAACCACAATATAACACATTTGAATTTCTATACTCAGCTTTATATTTAATTTACTGTTAATTAATTATATTTACTGATTCTCAAATTTATTTACAAATCTTATCAATAAATAACTGATCATCGAAGTAATTTACTGATCAATCATTCGATCTGTTGATTTTATAATATTCTAACGCACTGATCATTTCATCTATTTTACTAATCTCGTAAATCCTAGTCAAAAAAAAGTAGAAGCACTGTCGACACGTATTTTACTTCCTTAATATTCATTCTACCTCTCCATTCATATCATATCAGAACCAAAATAGATGCGCAAATAAATATATGTCATCATCAATATAAGAGAACGAACGTGTTCTATACTCTCAATCTTTATATGAAATAGTACTGCGTAGCTCACGATTCTTGTTTCTATAATTAGGTGTGCACATATATCAAAGACGAAATAGATATGAGTACGTCAACAATTAAACTCCAAACTACTACATCATGTACAGATATTTTACAGCAGTCAAGATATCATAATTTAATTCTATATTTACCAAATACAGAATATCTATTAATTTTCTTATTTCAATTAATTATTGTATTTTCTATTGTCAATAACCTATTAACCATTCAAACATGTCTTCGTTTATCTATACGTATAACAAATCTTGGTGTCTATCTAATACTTCTTTCACTCAGCAATTTAATACGTTGTATATTTCTTCAAACATCACTTATATGTGATACACAATCATTACAACGCACAGCTCTATTTTATGTATCAGCCATTTCATTGAATATATTAAATTTTTCAGCAATGTGCTATTCAAGTATGATTGCTTGTGAACGTCTTTTTATAGAATGTTTTAATTATCCTTTTTATGCGACAAGACAACGTTCTTGTCTTTTCTCAATTATTTTATTGATAATTACTTTGCTTACACAAATACCTACAGTCTTATTATACTTTAGTGGATTTTCTGCATCGATAGTTATTTCTATTTTAACAAAAATTGTAAAAAGTATTGAATTTGGTACTGTTCTAATTACATGTCTTTTACATATTGTATCAAGTCTTTTTGTACTCCGACATATTAGTGTACATAAAGTCTATATTAATTTAGGTGAACAAGAATATTGGTGTGTTTGGAGACAACAAATGAAGAATCATATGGATTTTTTTATACCGCCACTATGTTATATCCTATGTATATTACCATGGTATCTTTTTAAACATGTGATTTACTCCTGTGATCGTGTTAGTCCAACAACAATTTTACGTCTATATTTTATTCTGATTGCACTAGCAAATGTACCATTTACAATGACATTCCTAATTTATATTTATCCATCGAATGTTTATATGAATGAATTCAGACGTTCATTAGCTGTGTTGACGACAAAAATATTTATTTATGGATCGCATCGGAAAAGAACCGACAGTAATATGTCAAATGTGACAAAGATTTCTTCGATAGCATGAATTCATAGATTTTCTTAATGTAACGAACAAGGTTTTTCCTAATCTAATAAATACAAGAGATTGTGCTATAAAATCCATACCTTTCACACTGAGGCACAACCAAAGAATGAGCGATTCAGTCTATTGATATTCGAGATTTGATATGAAATTTTTTTTTTCTTTTTGCGTGGGATCCTAACTAAATATGATAAGCTAATCGATGCCATTCCTCTTCAATCAATTCTACTAACAAGAAAGAAATGCAATATAATTTATTTCGTGAAAGCAAAAAGATCCATCTTTGGTATAAGACATTGCACGTAAGTCACGGTCAATGTTACTCAATTAATCTCATTAATTTGCCGGATATTTTTACAGTAGACAGATCAAGGAGAAACAGCTGACTTCAATAGATATGGTCCTTTAGTATTACTTTATAAAATAAAGATAAAGGAATTAAAGATTACTTTTACAAGAGGTAATGTGACTGGAAGAGTTTTAGGACCTAGTGGTGGTCTTTTTAACTTAACTTTAAATTAAGTTTAAAGTTCTTACTTAACACTTAATATTAATAAAAAAAAAAAGAGTTTAGCAATCGCTACTTTATTTATTAATATTAACTATTAAGTTAACACTTAATTCTTAAAATTAAGTGTTAAGCAGGGATGTACAGCTCATGCTCATGAGCAGCTTTCCTGTCCCAAATAGGAGAGGTATTTTGAGTTTGATTTTTTCCATCCGAAAAAGAGTTGTTTTCAAAAATAATAATCTTTTATAAGGTTTGACCAAAGATAATCGATATCTGCGGGATCTGAATCTGTAATCGATTTTACGAAATTTTGAGTTTAATTTTTTAACTTTTTACGAAAAACGTCATTTTTTTAATTAAAAGTCATATTTTAAGAAACAAACCATTTTCCACTAAAAAAGTTTTTTTTACCACAAAAGTAATTTTCTAGCAAAAAAATATTTTTGTATAAAAAATGTTTTTATTTACAAAAAAGCTTTTTTTGCAACAAACAGAGATTTTTTTGCTTGAAATATGGTTCTGAGTAAAAAAAATTAAACTCAAAATTTCAAAAAACTGATTACAGATTTGGATTTGCCGGTTCCAATTACCTTTGATCAAACTTTATTTAAAAAAATCATTATTTTGGAAAAAAAAACTCTTTTCCTGATGAAAAAAATCTAGCTCATAATATTTCTCCCATTTGGAACAGGAAAATTGCTCACACTCATGAGCATGAGCTGTACATTCATGCTTAACACTTCATTTTAAGAATTAAGTGTTAAGTCAGAACTTTAAACTTAATTTAAAGTTAAGCTATAAGAACCATCCCTAAGTCCTAGAACTCTTCCAATCACATTTTCTCTTGTAAAAGTATCCTTTATTTCTTTATTTTATGTTTATCCTTTATTATAAAGGATAGTAAAGGTAAATGGTCACTCCTAGACTTCAAGTCTTTAAGAGATTTCAAGAACAGAGACTTCATGAACCATCGAAAAATCTTAGAAGTCGCATGAAATTTCTATAATATCTGAAAAATACTATCTATTACATAAAGATCGCAAAAGAATTTTTGTTTTTTCGAAATTCTTTTTTCAGGATGCATTAATTGTTGCGGCATGTCGCCATCAAAAATAAACAATTCTATTAAAGAGAATAAAAAAAGCTTATAATCCAAACAACTAAACTTGGATACGAATGGTAGGCAAGAGAACACCAACACTTACACCCATTCAGAGTTTTTCTTTGGAAGTAAGACGAGCGCAAATGAAAAATTCGACTTTCAGCAAAATAATCGCCTAGTTTTATTTCCTTTATTTCATAAAAGAATAGAATCATGAACTCAAGTTAGACTTTGTTACTATCTATATAATCAACATCTAAACAAAATAATGGGTGTAAACTAAAAACGTGTCTGTTATACAGGCGTCGTCTTTGATCGTGGTCTTGTATTATTATCTTCTTGTAATAATGTTCCACTTGCGTTTTGCAATAGACTACTCCAGACAAGTTCCACTGGATGTACGGTCGACCTAATTAAATATTCTGGTGATCCATCGTCACCAAACATATGTGTTAAAGATTGTTCTTTCAAATAAATATTTGTTATTTCTTGTCCTTGTTCAATCTTTGTAATAAGAAAAGCTGAATACGGTAAGATTACTACTTCATCTTCATCTTCAAATTCTGATATTTTCGATATATTAAGAGCAGTACGATTGTCATTACATATTTCATAAATACAGAAGAATGAATGTTTAGATGGATTTTCCGGTCCTTTATCACAGAAAATTTTTGCAACATCAGGATTTCTTGATGTTGAAAGAAGTGTAGTTGTAATAATACAAGAATTAACTTTATAATGATCAAGCGCATTCTTAGGTACGACAATTCCACGATAAACTTCACCTTGGAAACTAAATTCTTGAAACTTTTGATGATGAAGAAGAATATTTGTAATTGATTTGGTACCATCTTCCGTTGAATAGAGACAGTCACAAGAAAACTTACTACAACCATTCTTCAAATCATGTATAACGTTACGTGCCATATCTTTGTTTAATAATTCTGAAAAATTTTGACATATAGTATATGAAGTGATAATATAGTAGGGTTCTTGTAGAAGCAGTGCACGTTTAAAATAATCATGTATACGTGAATCATCTGTTTCAGAAAGATCTTTTAGACGTGCATCAATATAACCTTTATTTATTGAATAAAGTTTTTGTTTTAAATCTTTTTTAGCCATTGATTTAGATGGTTTCAATTCATGACGAAATCTTCGTGCTTTCTGTACTGCATTTAGATCAACTAATTCCCATTCATAGAAAGTATCATCATTTACTAGTGAACAACTTTCACATTTAATCTTGTGTTGAGACAAAGTATTTGTTTTATAGAGACCGTGTAAAAAGGCAAAACGAGATGATGATGTTTGACGTTTAAATAAATCTCTTATTTCTGTTGTTTCAGCTAGCTGATAAGCTTCTTGACCATTTGCATTTCTTAACGACCGTTGTGCACCATGATGTAAAAGGATTTGAATAATTTCCTTGTTCTGGTTTCGTGTTGCTACGTGTAGAGCAGTTTCATTATTTGGTGGATATTGAAAGTCGATTTCTTTACGTTTCATTTTCTTCAGACATGATTCTACACGTGCTAGATCGTTATTTTGACAAGCTAAGTAGAGTGTCGAGGGTACAGTATTTGTGAAATGAGGAAGATGACCCTTGTGATGCTGAAATAATAGTTTGAATAGTCGAGGACCAATTTCACCGTTAGAAATTGTCACTGCACGTTCTTTTCGTTGTGCCATGTATTGTATCAAATATGCGCATGACTATTACTAACTACAAATATTTTTTTATCATGTTTTTTTTTATTACTTTTCTACTTACGCACGTTTTGACGTCAACATAGAAAGAAAAAAATATGGTCAACAATTAATACCGTGTTCTGTATGTAAAATGATTGACGAGAAAGAAAAAAAAGAAAAAAGAAAACAAGAAACGAAACGAAGGTAATAAATGCAGAGGATAAAATGATTCTCTTAAGGGACTTTCCCAAAGAGGAAAAAGCTGATTTTTTTGATTTAAATCAAAAAAGAAAATCAAAAATATAAAAAAATCAGAAAAATCAAAGAAATCAATGAAAATCATGTCTTATTTTCATCTCTTTTCTCCTATATATCAATTGTTTCGTTATAGTTCTCAACTGTGAACTCTGTTTTTCTATTAATAGTAAGTTTTTATAGCAATGTAACATGTTGAAAATCATGCTATACATACATGGATGAGACATTATGAAGATGTGAATATGTCAGTAATATTTTTTCCTTGGTTTCATTTTTTTTTGTCGAAGCAAACGATAAATAGAACAACATTGAGAGAAGAATGGAATTTTAAAACTTAAAATATCTAACTATTTATATCGAACAAGAAATGAAGAAAAATGTTTCGACCGTACTTACTATTTGTCAACAGTATTTGTATATCATATGCTAGCGGCGTCATGTTAACTAGAAAAGCAATGCTAACTTTAGCTTGTGATTGTTCGATATTGATCCATTCATATTTTCTTTATTTCTTTCTTTCTCGATATGTGTATCTAACATATTTCAAACTTCTATGCAATATTTTATGATGTCAAAAAAGTCTTTTATCAACACAAGTCATATACCAGATGATGTACACATCTCCAGTTCTTTGTCTAACGATGAAATTGAACAAATAGTTAAACATGCATTTGCTGATGCAAGTGAACTTGTAGCATCTCTAGATGTCTATATTTTAAACAAAGATGGTAATTCAATAACAATTAATGAAGTCAGTGTTATCATCAAAGACCATTTAGAAAAAACTGCAAAAATCAGTGATTCAAGTCAAATAGAGTCTTCCGATTTTGATTCGGAATCAGATAATGAACTAAACAATTATGGGACTGAATATGATTCAACATCGTCAGATTCTGACAACGACCAAGATATGTCTGACTCAGAATGTTTATCGAATGTTAGCAACTGCTCGTTTCATGATATGCGCATTTATGACAACGTTAAACCTTCTGTTGCTCAATCATATTTTAAAGTTACAGTCAATAGACAAACAAAATTCTTACATAAGCAAACAGCTTGTTGGCTGTTAATGCATGATAAATCATCACTATCATCGGATTGCTCGAGACGTGTAATGAACAAATGATACTATGAGTTTTCCTTTGTTTTTTAAATAAAATATGAAGATTCAATAAATTGTATTGTTTCATTCCTCTTATTATAATCAGCTTGATGGAAGCAGCAAATTCAGAAGGTAAAAAATACCTTGATTTACTTAAATTTTTTTACTCACACTCCAGGACTCTAGGAAAACTCAAAAGAGAACAAAATCTGTACCGAACATGATTCAGAAAACCTTGCTATAAAGTATACTAATCCACGAAATTCTGGGCTCAGAGTAATAATAACTCTTTTTACTGATGTGAACGTAATCTGACTCATTCGAGACAGCGGAGAAAAATTAGTTTAGATGTTTAACAAATGTGAATCTGGGCTTGTTTACACAGTTGAATCTTATTAAAACAAGCAGCTTTGAAAACAACCTTATCAACAAGTGTTTTAAGACCCAAAAATAAAACAAATAAAAACTAAAGAAAATGAGAAAAAAACCAAAAAAATTCTGATTTTAGCTGTTTCCTCCTTGAAATTTCCCCTTTCCAAGATTTCTTGAGAACGGTTCGACAAAAATTTTTGAAACTTTCAGGATAGATAGACCTCGATGAGTAGAACAAAAGTTGTCATAGATTCAAAACTGCCAAATACTTTGGCAGGTCAAAGGCTAAAAATGTCCTGAAGTTTTCCTCCCTCACAAACAGTCACACTAAATTTTTTTTCTTGGTTGAAAATTTTTCTGTGGCAACTAGAAACAAACCTAGGTGTCTTTTTTTTTCTTTGTGAAAAATATAATTTCTGAAACTCAGGAAGTATCCACAAAAAAGTTTGAGTTCAACCGGTCATACCGTTTAGGAGAAAAAGGGAAAAAACTTCAATTTTTTGTTTGAAAATCTAGTTTTAAGAGAAACGCGAAGAAAGTTGCACTTTTTGACTTTTTTAGCATAAAATTAAGGTTTTAACTTGTAAATAAGTAATTTAGTCTTGTTAAAATATGATTATTAGATAGAAGGCATCTACATCTATATACCAAATACAAAACTTCGATTTGTTTGCATCATTGAATGAGATTCTTTGATTTTGTGTCTTTTCTAGTTGCTTTCTCACAAGAGGGTTTCAACTTGTGTGAAATTAAATATATGTTGAAGTTGCTGAGCATGTTCGACTAGTTTCAAGTCGAATACGAATTTTTTTATATTGGCTAAATGTTTATTCATCCTGATTTTTTTCTTTAGCGCGAGGTCTCGCCAATGTATAACTTATCAAAAAATATGAGTACACTCTAAAAAAACTTAGGTTTTTCATCGAACTTGTTACAAGGGTTGAAATCTTTTGCTTCTGTACGAACTTATGGAGCTTTAAACTGCCACAGGCCTCTAACTCCAGCCATCACTGATAGCCGCATGCTCCCTTACGTTCACACCGTGAAGCATAACCACAGCGTTCTTCACTCATCCCTAACAGCAACTCCAACAGATACTACCACTGCAACAGTTGGGTTCTTAGTAATATCCCACATTCTCAAAGTAGGTTGCCTTAAAGCATGTCGTAAAATGAAAGTTTCATCAGAACAGCAGAGCATGTTCATGCATGTTTTGAAAGTTTTTTTACAGTTTATTGCATCGATACAATGACTTCGTCGTATATATTCTCGAAAACAAAAGACGTTATGATATTTTGTCTTCCCATTGCTGAAAACCGCATATCGTTAGCTGTTACCGTTCATGATATATTCGTATTCCTCTTATCTATATTTTATTCTGGCGCTGACATAGGCTATTCTTTTCGATATTTTTAAAAATTTAATAAAGAGTTTTAAAACGTTCATGAGCAGCACGTTCTAATGTTTCACGATGATCAGGATGAGCTATATCAATTAATGCTTTAGCTCGTTGTTGATAATTTTTACCAAATAAATTTGCTACACCATATTCAGTTACTATATAATGAACATGAGCACGAGTTGTCGTTACACCAGCACCTTCTTTTAACTAAATATTAAGAAAAATACAAAAATAAGAACTAAGAATCAACATTGAAACTTACTGTATTAACTATACGTGAAATTCCTTTTGATGTTTGTGATGGTAAAACAAGAATAGGTTTTCCTTTTTCACTTAAAGCAGCACCACGCATAAAATCGACTTGTCCTCCAACACCTGAATAATGCATTACACCTAATGATTCTGCACAAACTTGTCCAGTAAGATCAACTTCAAGTGCAGAATTAATAGCACACATTTTTGGATTTCGACAAATTTGTGTTGGATCATTTGTTATTCCAACATCAAAAGCAAATATTTTTGGATTATCATTAACAAAATCATAAAGTTTTCTTGTACCCAATATAAATGTACATGTTGTTATTCCAGGATGAAATTTTTTATAACGATTTGTCACAACACCTTTTTCCATTAATGTCATAACACCATCGGAAACCATTTCTGATGCTATACTTAAATCTTTATGATTTTCAAGAGATTTTAATACACAATCTGGAATTGCACCAATACCTGCTTGAACTAAAAATAGAAAGTTTGCATGCGAATTTCATAGGGACGTGAATAAGTAATGAGAGTTAAAATGGAACATCTGAGAAGTTTTTCTTCATAGTCGAACTACATGCTCAATAAAATCAAGACACTTCTATAGTAATATTAGAGGATTATTTCACAATTGAAAAGTTTTAATGTTAAACCTTCTTTGTGAGTAAAATATTTAGTGAACTAAGGTTATTCTTTTAGAAATACTAGTGAAGCGAAAGAAAATAGGAGGTAAAACAAGAGTAGATCATACAATATCTGTCATACATTTTATAATAGCATAATTCATTAGCGATGCTTAAGGTCCCGAAGATTTAGCTTCATACTTTTCGATAGATTATACAGTTATATATTTCCAACTTTATTTTTCTCATTAAAACATTCATCTATTCTAAATACTTGAATTGTGTAACTAGGAAAAAAATCTTCAGCGATGTTTTATTATGAATTTGAGAATTGAGAAAGAAATTCAATCTTTGAGTTCTCTGATAAATCTCCTTTCTAAAAAAAACGTAAAAGAATATTTCTGAATTCTTCTATTACTTACGTGTACTTCCATCATCAATTAATTCAGCTACACGTTTTCCAATTATTCTTTCAGCATCAGAAATTTCTTTTGAATAATCTAGTTCAATCAATGGTTCATCATATTCAACATAAGCATCAATTTGATTTATATGTACAAATGTATCACCATGTACACGTGGCATATTTCGATTTATTTGTGCAAAAATTTTTTTTGCATTTCGTACAGCAACTCCTGTTACTTCAACTGCAATACCAAGTGAACAATAACCATGCTTATCAGGTGGTGATACTTGAATAAGAGCAACATCAAGTGGAAGAATATTTTCATCAAAAAGACGAGGCATTTCATTGAGAAATGCTGGAATATATGATGCTGTACCATCAGCAATACATGGCCGAACAAAACCAGATGCAAAAAGACTATTAACAAAGAAGCTATCTTTTAATTTTGGATCTGTATATGTATTATCAAGGGGAAGAATGCTTATAATTTCAACACGTCGAAGTTCATTAGCACGCTTGGCCAGTAAACAATTGAGATATTGTGGTATACCACCGCAACCTAATAACGACAAAAAA